TTTTCCCTTGGTGCTGTTCTGGGTGACTTATCAGTGTGAACGCTGAACTTCCTAGCAACTGAAGGTTACCCTCATTATCCCCACTTCTGAGGAAGGCAATTGAGGCCGAGAGGAGTCTAGTCATTCACTCAGTCAGGGCCACCTGATGGGAAGTGGCAGGACCGGGCAGGTTGCTTTTAGTCTTTGCACAGAACAGCCTCTGTGAGTGAATGCAGCCTGCTGATGGGACTTCATGGAGCCAGCTGTGATGCGTGGTCACTTCCCAAGACCTTAGTTTTTGTGTGTGATTTTGCAACTAATGAACCTTTGCTGCCGTCTGGAAGACCTCAGACTTCTGCGGCTCCGGCTTGGGTAAGGCACTGCCTCGCAGCTGGGTCCCTCAGGAACCCTCCAGGCTCCAGTACAGCTTCTCTAGCTGCAGGCTCCTAGCTACGACTTCCCTGGGTTCTTTGGAGCTTGGGTGCAAGGGTTCTGTTGCCCTGTGGGCCTAGCAGGTGAACAGATGAAGCCGAGAAGGGCTTTGGTGGTTGTCTGTGTCTTTGGGGGTTACAGGATAAGAGGAAGAAGTGAAGCACGAAGACTGGCTGGTCAGCACTCAGTGTCTTTGAGAGTGCCATGGGTAGGCCAGGAGAAAGTCCTACCCTCCCTGGGAAGCACCTTACTTGCTAGGGTGGCGCCTGGTCATAGATAGTTCACTTTGTATTCTGAGACTTGCTGCCCACATCGGGAGTTGGACTCCTCTCTCTAGGTTTTTGCACCGCAAAAGTTTGGTGACAGGTCTAATTCGCTCTCTTGTTGGATTACGGGTTAAACAAAACAACAACAAAACGGAACTGGGCTGGGGAGGAAGACTGTAGTTTCTCTTTGCCTATGAGGAATCTCAGGCAGGCACCTAGTTGCTGGGGAAGCTGGGCTGCGGGCGTCAGAGAGGAAAACCTTTGGGGAGACGATCCTCTGTGAGGACGTGGAGGTCCGGAAAGCTGGGCTAAGACACACTATCCCCCAAAGGAGCTCAGAAGTCTAGACTTTACCAAGCTAGTGGCCCAAGTCTCTGCCTGCACCCTGGTGCCTGGAGCTCTCCCTGTGCTTCTGTGGAGCTGGAGCTGGACTCAGCAGAATGGGGCCCAGGACACCCTGAGGGGTAATAGTCAGGTCCCCTTGGGGTCTTTTCATCCCTGCCTCCTATGCCTTTGGGGTGGAAGAGGGGCTGGCTGCAAAGTGGGTAAGTAGGCAGTCAGGATGACCTGGCA